AAAATATATTTAAATAAATTGCTTATATTTGGAAAAGGTTTTGTTGAAGTTTGAAATATTTGTTATTGAAATTTCAATGTTGAAATTAGAAATGATAATTTCAGCCACTCTATATAAGAATATAAAATTTATACATGCTGTTATACCTGAGTTGTTATACACAGTGTAAGATCATAGGTTTCAAAGACTAGTAATATGCCATGCAAGGGGAAAAAGTCTGTAAAGGTTAATGTATATTTTAAATTAAATTGACGTTTGAAATTCTAATGTCTTGTATTTGTTGTATAGATAAAGAATTTATTTTTTTGTGCATATATGTTGTTACATTATCAGTAGTACTTTCTCAGAAAGTGTTATACACCTTTCTAAACTTTGTAATTTTTTGTTTATTTTTCAATATGTTTGTGAGCCAATTGTGGACTTATGAAGAATGAATTGAAACATGAACTAAAATTCCCAAAGACGTTTTTAGGAGCTTAGCTTTATTGCACAATTTTTTGTAATGGAGGTGGCATTCAACTACTTATTTTTTATGAACAATAAACATTATTTCATTATGATAAAGCTTGATGCAACTTTTACAGCTTCTGATCATACAATTTACCATGATTCTATTTACTGTCACTTAAAAAAAGTTACAATAATGATTTACTATGTATTGTTGTGACTGATTCTAACTTAGTTGCTTTAGTAGTTAACACAAATTTATTTCACTATTAGAATTTTTCTTCCATTGTGTCAATCCAGTTTTCTGTTCAGTGTGATTTATAATGTATAATAATAATACAAGCTTGGGTTATTTTTACTATACTATTTTTGTGTTTTGTCTAATTTTTTGAAGCTGGGGACTGTTATGTTAATCTGAGCTTATTAGGAATAGTATAAAAATGTGGCATAAAGTAAATGATAAATTTGATTATGGCAAAGTAACTTCTTTAAATTAAGTAAATTATTTTTTTTACGCTGTGAAAAATTTGATGATTGTTTTTTTCTCTACTATAGATAGATATACTCCATGACCTCTGACCTTGGTGAAAACAAAGAATTGTACGTGGATCTAAACAAACAACACTGTAAGTTAAGTTTTTATTTTTTGATCAACTTTTAAGAATACTGTTTGAGCAAAGTTGTTATAAAAACACCGGACTAAATAAGATGTTAATTATTCCAAATAGTTTGTTAGAGCAGTAGAGAATGATGTATTAAATCAAGAAAAGGTATCAGGCATAGTAAACATAGCAGATTTCAAATGTGCTTTAATAACGAGAATTATATTGATATACACAATAGAACAAACAGTATTAGAAGATGTATTATCTAATTTTGAAAGCAGTATGTAGTAGAGTATATTAAGTATGTATATTTAGTGTAAGAGCTGTTGCTTTATTTATATTTGAGTTAAGTTATTACTTATTACCTGAAAATGTATGAATGAGAGATGTATTTATGTTGAAAATTTAAAATGTTTTTAAATGAACAGATAATTAAGAATGACTTTTTATCAAACCCCCAGTGGGACAGTGGTAAGTCTTTAGGTTTACAAGCTAAGATCAGGGGTTCGATTCTCCTCAGTGGACACAGCAGATAGCCTGATGTGGCTTTGCTATAACAAAACACACACACTATTTGTCAAACTACAACTCTGTAGTGTAAAGTAAAAAAATAGTTACTCTCCCATTGCAATAGTTGTGTTTAAAAAGACTTGTAAGATTTGGATTAGTAAAAAAATGTTTAAAAACATGTTTTATTATGAATTAAAGAACTTAGGATAATATTGTATGATGATTTTGAACTTATTAACAATTCTATCAAAAACTTAAGGTCTTTCATATCTGTGCTAAGCTCACACTTCACTGTTCTCTAAGTATTCCCATGTTTCCAGTGTAAAATATTAGCTTTGATACTTGACAAGCCATGCAACTCCACCCCACAGTTTGTAATGTTTAGTAAAGTGTCAAGCACACACACAGATACAAATGTTCAAGTACTTTAAGGATCTTTAACTGCTAATAACTATAAGATTCACTGTTAAAACTGTGTGACAGATAGCAGTTTAGTTCCCACACATCTATCTAATACCTTAGATGTAAGAATTTGAAACTAACGGCACATCAGTTAAAGCATAACCCAACGTGAGTGGCATTGGTGTTTTGCACCAATCCTGTTTTTATGAATCTATACATAGTAATGTTTACCAAATTTATTAAGTGTATCTTCACAAAATTTGGTTGGCTTTTAGTAAATATTTTAAGTATTTTTGCTAAAGATATGTTTGAATTTACTTTATCAGTCCAACTCAGAATCTGCTAATTCTGAGTGCAAGCTGATTTTCATGTTAAGAATAAAAATATATTTTTTTTTATATTACAGTTTTCATATTTCATTTGTATAACTTTTAGAAACTCATAAATGAATATCAGTCTTTTTGTGAGTAAAAAGTTTTTATCAATTATTTTCTCTACCCCAACCCTAATTGTAGGGAAATTGGCAATTTAATATAAAATGAAAAGTTGAGAAATACAAAATACAATATAAATTACCCTTTTTTTCTTTCTAGAATGACCGCCTATTTTAATGGCAATTATACTTTTTTATTATTACAACCATAGTTAATAGACTTTTCAAATCTCGGCTCATTTAGTTTTATTGTTTTAAAGTTGCACTTAGATATTCTGAAGGTATGCAAAAGGCCATTTATAGAATCCGGACAACCTTGCATAAACAGATGACTGAGTTACAAGTACAACTTGAACAAATTACAAACTCACCTTGTGCACACAGTGTACTACAATACTGACTATCATGAGAAATTTAATTGTTGTTTAATGCAGGTTTCCAATTTTTACATTTTAAGTACTTTTACAGCAAGTAAAAAAAAGTACATAAAAAAAAACAACGAGAAATTTAGTACTTATTCATCTGGACTCCCACTTTTTGTTGTCTGCAGATGACATTTTTTAGGTCTACCTTTTTTTGTAAAGATGTTGGTGATCCAAAATATTTTAAGTTTATTTCAAATATGAAATTTAGAACACAGAATTATCATGCTCAAAATACAGAATGTCCTAAAACTACTATAATTTAACTGGCTTTTTAACTAAGCTACAAATAGGTTTAAAAAATTCTTTAGCAGTAAGGAGATCAATAATAATGATGACACAAAAGCAATCTGTCTAGAAAAGCATGCCAAAAACATAAGGTAAAAAATTATTTTTCTGTGATTACAAATATATCTAAAAGGATATGTAGTATAGATGAATTTGTTCAAAGCTATGAAAAGATGGGAAGAGTCTTAATGGTGGGTGTCACAGATTTATATATCTCTCTCACTAGTTCAAAATGGTGAGAGATTTAGATTTAATATCATGACCTGTCAATATCTGTAGTTTGAGTTTCTGATTGGTAGGCATCTGATAGCTTTAGAAGGGAATGGGTAAAATTGAAAATAAACAAATCAAAGGGAATATGTGTTATGTCACAAAAGTTAGAATTTATTTAAATATTTCCTTTTGAAATTAAAAGATTAAACTTTGAATTATAAACTACATTTTTATGTCAAGATTTATTGACATACACTGATAGTAAAGTTGTTTAATTAAATTTTGAATGTAAAAAGGTCATGATGTACACTATGAAAACTGTATGGTTATCTTTGTAATGTGGCATGCATTTGTTGTATCATATGTGTAAAGTATAACATGCACACATACACAAGCATGATACTTATACATACAATCTTCAATTTATTAGTTTTATTTGTGAGTGAGTGAATGAAACTGTTTGGTGTGTGTAGTAAACCCAAATGTTTGGTTTGAGAGAAATTTTACATTTTTTATGTGGTAAGTGTGACTAATAGAGAAATGGTGCCCTTGATGAAATTCTACAACAATTCATAGTAAAGACAAACATAAGTCATAACTTGACAAGATAATTTGATACGGATGAACATATCATCTGAGAAAATGAAACCTGTGTTGTTGAAATTTTAATTTAACAGTTTGTTTTCTAACTTCATGTTTAATTCTTTCTAAAAGTAATACATTAAGCAAGTAAGAGAACTTAAATGTTCAAATAAACAAAATTTGAACTTTATTATAATAGAAAATTTACTTCTGATCTAATATTGTATTGTATGCAAGATCAATTTGTTAATAGTGTGTTCAGAGGGTTTATTTGTGACTGATATCATGTGTACATCAGTTAACTCCAATTAGGAATAATCAGTTAGTGTAGTAAATTGATATATCCTCATATAATATTGTTCCTCTTTCATTTTAATGTTTTTCCTGAATATGGTGATCACAGATAGTTCTTGTTACTTTACAATGAAAATTTCATTCATATTTAGTTTTAAATATAGTAGAAAATAATTTTTATATATTTCTATAGCTTTCAGTCTAAAATATTACATATCAGTTAATTTAGTTTCTTCATTAGTAAATATCTTAACTTTTTCAGTTCCATATTTAATGTATTTTTCCTTTAGAACTTCTGTTTACTTGTTAAGTTCCAGTTCTTCTTTAACTAAATCTGTTGATTGAAACGTACTTTACAAAAAGTAAAAACTTGTGTGTATGTAAAAGTATGTTTACTTGTTAAGTTCCAGTTCTTCCTTAACTAAATCTGTTGATTGAAACACGTATTTTACAAAAAGTAAAAACTTGTGTGCATGTAAAAGTATGTTTACTTGTTAAATTCCAGTTCTTTAACTAAATCTGTTGCTTGAAACATGTATTTTACAAAAAGTAAAAACTTGTGTGCATGTAAAAGTATGTTTGCTTGTTAAATTCCAGTTCTTCTTTAACTAAATCTGTTGATTGAAACATGTACTTTACAAAAAGTAAAAACTCGTATGTATGTAAAATATAAATTTCTAGTATGTGGAAATAAATTAATATTTCATTGAAAGTGTGAAAGATAAATTTTTTATTTGCTTGTATGTGTGAAAATTTATATTTCTTTAGTTAACTATAATTGAAGAAATCCCCATATTGTACAAGTGCAAGCTCACATTGTTGATTGGCAAAAAAAACAACAGAAAACAAAAACTGTATACAGACAAAATCACTATACCAGCTTAACTTTTTAATTTGTCTGAGTAGTTGCAGCCAAACTTGAAGCCTTGAGTACTATAATTCTTGGTACCTGTATTAAAGATAAAAGTGTTTGTAATAAAGCAATATTTTTCTCGATGTTTTGTTTTTCCATGTCTGCACCTTGTTTTTACTTGTTTACCTTGAACAGAAATCTTGTTGTAACTTTGAACTTAAATCTACAAAGTGATTGAACCTGTAACAAGTAAATTTTATTTATCTCGTACATCCATTACACCTTAGTATGTAAGTATTTTATCTAGATAATTTTTTCTTTTTTTTTATTACAGTTATACTTTGTTGCATTTTAACTTCAAAAAGTGTAAAAGACAATTCCCAGGAATGTCTATCAAGATTTTTAGTTTAAGAACTATAGTACTTCTTAAAATAAAACTATTTCAGTGAAAAAGTAGGAAATTTATGCTAGCTATTTATTATTCTTACAGAATATTGGGAATTTTGAAAAACAAAAATAGTGAGATTATGGCACAGTTGTTAGTTTTATAAAACAGTAGCTTGGTGTATCAGTGTTTTAATAAAACTACAGGAACTAAAATATTTCCATTGTTATTTTATAGTAAAATGAATTAATCTCCGTTACTAAATAGTAACCTAAGGGCATGTTACAATTTTTAATTCAATTAAGAATTAAAATCTGTGTTGGAAAGAAAACTTGCTAATTTTAGTTATTGCTGTGAAACTTTTATCTTGCGTTAGTTAAAATATATGTATATGTAGTGGTAATAATGATTTAAAATTGTTTTTTGTCATAAATATTTACCAGTGTGCAAGTCAATAAATTGTCTGAGAGTATATTTTAAACACATGATGACTCCTCTTATCAAAAAAACAAATTCTTTAATAGCAGTAAAGTCCTCCAGTTGCGTTGATCTTTAGTGTAAAAATCAAATGCCTATACCTTGTATAATTATTTTGTATTACATGTGTTGGCTTAATAATATGAATATTATGTTAGAATT